CAAAATAGATACCAAGATTTCTCATACCTAGGATCATTAGATTTATTACATTTAAAAATTACGTTAATATTATGAAAAACCTATGAAACGGCAACACTGTAATCAATGTCGGCGATACTACCTGATATTTACGTGTACTGAATTGCATTTTTGCCCTTTACTTTTATGTTTTTTCTTGTTTCTTGTTAATGTTACTGTATATAGGTGTTTTATGCATTTTATTATTAAAATAATTTTGAATGCCTTTCATTTCGTTTTTAGACAAATTTTTAGAAACTATAACTTATTTTTTGAAGTTCTAGTAATACTAATGTATAGTAATTAACTATTTTTTAAGAAATAATATTACATATTACCAGATTTTGACTATTTTCACCGGTAAACACATATTTTGGTGCCAGACTTATTGAAGTTAAATAATTTTGGTGCGATGAATCCAAAAATACCTTCAGATGTTAGCTATCATCTCGTGTTTGTCTTTTATTATTCATACATATATTTCTTTTTTCCACAATTGTGATTTCCTGGTGGAATGGTTTATCAAAGTGTCCAAGTTAAGCAGAAAACCTTTCTAGATGCTTGTGGAAGTAATGGATCTTAACGTTCATGTGGCAATCAAGAATTTGATTATTATTTAGTACATACTGCAATATTTATTCGTAATTTTCAGACTTATACTTACCAAGAAAATTTTGCACAATTTTAACAAAAAAAAAAACGCGTTTGGACTCAATTTTGAGTCAGTCATTGTCTAAAGTGTGGGTATTATTTAGGTGTTCTTATCTGTGATCTCTCAATATTCCTGCTTTAAAATTGTTCTTATTGATTGATTTATGTCTTCTAACTCTCTAAGGAAAATATTTTGCATCCTGAAGATTTTTTTCCAATATTTTGTGCTTCCTTTACAGCGGACTTCCTCTTGGTACCTCGAGATCTACTCGCTTTCTAGCTCCTTGTGATTCCAGCTCAAAGCTTTCTTTTCAACAGCAGCATGTGCTTTTCTAAGAGTGTAGCTGTAAGAGATAGTCGTAGCGAGTTTCCTAGTGAAAGAAGCGTTTAATAACGTCTTCTAAGGATGAGGGATTCCTGCCTTCATCTGTCAATAATGATCAATAATCGTTGCAGCTTCGCTGACCAACCATAGATCTTCTAAGGTAAAGGTTTAGGGGTACATGCTACATGTCAAAGGGCTTTCCATATTTTGTTGTTTTTCACACTTGTACAGGTCACTATCAATCATTTATGGGTTCCGCTTGATTTCATTTGTCTTTACTGTGACTTCGATAGTTTTTACATAGTTTAAAGTCGTCCAGTTATTCCAGTCCAAACTAATACCTGGGAATCCTCTTCTTAAGGTGAAGAGCCTTTTTCTAGCGGTTAACTGGCACATAATGCGAAAAACCTTTTCGCCTTATATAATGGGTAGCGTTCAATATCGGTTTATTTAAACTTTACGGTAGTGAAAAACCTGTTGCTTTGTATAGTACCTAGAGTGGGGTAGGTTTTCTGTATCCGGTTTTTACCTGCTTGTTTCATTCAAGGCAATGCCTTGAAAATTGAAAATCACATCTCCCGTGCAATTGTTCTTAAAATATCAGGACATGTACTCCAGTTACTTTCAGCTAATTTTCTTAGTAAAGTGTTTCTGCTGACGACTTTTATCCTTGTATTATGATAGTGGTGCTTATATTAAATCAAAATTACTCCAACCTATTTAGGTTTAATTACTATTTAACTGGGAATAAGCCACAATTAAAGATAAAATTACGTTTATTGACGTTTCAATTTCCACTTCGGAAATCGTTCTCAAAATACAAACAGTAAATTTAGGTTTGTCTATGTTGCAAGACCTTTTCCGTCCATGTGACTTGCAATCTCCTCGCATTTCAGCTTGAGCTTGAACGTATTGTCTAGTGCAATTTCGAATACTTTTTCGATATTATGAAAGTTTGTTATACTCCTATAGTCAGGCATATAAGTATTGTTTTTCGTCTTTTATTAGTGGTGTTCACCTAATATTCTTCTTCTTCTTTCTCTTTATAAGTAATTCTGCTTGTTTATTCGCGGATTAATACCTCTATGGAAGGTTGTCACTCCATCTTTTGCGCGGCCGTCCAATACTTCTTCTGCTGGTTGGTGACTTATCCCTTGCTATTTTGACGACACGGTTTTTCTCAATTCTGCTTATCTGGTTATTCCATTCTTTTTTTCCATTTTGTGTCCATTTATTTATACACTGTACGTTACATTTTCTTCTAATGTCTTTACTTCTCTTTTGATCTCTCAGCTGATTTCCTGTAATTCTTCTCAGTACTCTCATCTCTGTCGTTTCCAGTAGTATTTGCGTTGTGGCTGTGTTGGGTCTTGTTTCTGAGGTGTAGAATTCTTGACTTCATCTCAGTGAAGTATTTTAGTTCCATTACTTGTTCAGTACTGACGCCATCAATTTCAATTTTACATCTTCTTGGTTCTGTGCTGACTACTATTGTTTTAGTTTTCTGAGATGAGATTGTCATATTAAATTCTTTTGCTCTCAAGTTAAATCTGTGGATTAGTCTTTGCAGATTAGTCTTCATCTTGGGCTATCAATATTACGTCATCTGCGTAACAGAGTATTTTGACTTCTTTGTTTACCATTCTGTATCCTTTTTCTTTGTTAACGCTTTTGATGATTTCATCCATGATCAAATTGAAGAACATGGGGCTCAATGAACCCCTTTGTCTTATTCCGCTCTATTTCTATAGGTGCTGTAAGTTGTCCATGTATTCTGACTTCCATTTTGGTGTTTTGGTAGATGTTTTCGATAGTTTTAATATTATTTAGGGAAGCTTCTCTATTATACAGAAGATGGATTACATCTTTGAGCCTTACTCTGTCAAACGCTTTCTTTAGATAAAGTAGACACAGAAATGCTGGTCTATTATATTCCAGTGATTTCTCAGTAATTTGCTTTATAACGAATATTGCATCTGTACACGATGTACTCTGATGTATTAGCACTTGTAAAATTTTAGTTGTAAGTTTTATCGCAGTATGTAACAAGTTTATACCTCTGTTCTGTGTTCTTTGTGTTCACCTAATATATTGAACATAATTGTAGTAAAGTGCGATTCTTTTATTTGTCTACCTGCTTTTTCTTTCCTTGTCGTATACCGTGGAATCTCCTGTTCTGTAGAAGACTTAACTATCTTCACACGTTTAGATTCAGTCAGAGTCTTATATATTTTGCCCAACAGTTTTTTTGTAAACACGGTATCGTAGTCAACATGTGTCAATAAATAAAGGCTAGAACGCAAAAGATAGTAACCTCCTTACTGACGTGTACTCTCTTTGCCCTTTTATCTACTAGCACAGTTGCTCAACACATCTTTTGTTATACAGCATTGGACGTCTGCGTTTTTTTGAGTTTTCTTGCTAAATTCTGGTGTTATCTTCTCTAAATATGTATTCTCCACACTGAACAATATTGAAGTTTGTTTGAAATCAATTCGCAGCGTATAGATGAAGAAATAGTGAACGAAAAGAAAAATAATTGTTTTTTCTATATAATTGCGCCACGTTTCTTTTCTATACCATTTCATTATATTCGTCAAACCCTATCACGTGACATGTCACACGTCACAATCGGACCATTTACAATGAAGATACTGCGTAATACCCTTTTGACAATGACGCCATGTTTGTTTTTTCTATATAGTTATCCAACCCTATCACGTGATATGTCATACGTCACAATCGGACCAATTACAATGAAGATTCTTCTTAATACCCTTTGGCAATGCCGCCATGTTCGTTTTTCCTATAGAGTTGTATTCTGTTCGTTAAATCCTATTACCGAACACCTCACACGTCACAATCGGACCAACAACGACGAAGATATGATGTAAAACCTTTTTGGTGCGCTGACATATTTGTTTTTTCACTTATTCCCATCGCCATCACACTCTAACAATACCGTACACGTCGCAACAATAACGTTTCTCACTCTTACACATGTGACGTAACCCTCTAAAAGGTACTTCTCTCTCTAACAAATTAATTTCTCTGTATCTATAGGGATGGCTGCTTTGATCCTCTACATACATGTATAACAAAAATGTTTCAATGGTTAAGACAACTACGTCTGATTTTAGAAGCCATTTTATTTTCGAAAACATACTTTTACAAGGAGGCTAGGTTTCAACTGACCAGATGGTTCAAACGTAAATAAAAAAAACAACTTTGCATACTTCCGATGGCTATTAAAATTTGCTCTTACTGTTCATTGCTGCAGTATGAATGAACATTATGAAACATTTATTTGTTCTCCATTTCAAAACTAGGATGGTCATAACAAATAATTGTATTTTTGGAATTATCGAACTGGAAACATTTCAAATTAGAAATGTTAAAATGTTTTTTTGATGCACCAATTTTTTTGTGTTTGCCGGCTTGTTAATTATTAAAATATGTAAATATATGCGTGAAATGTTTTAGCAATTTTATGGTGAGTTACGACAAATGCCACTATGTTAAGTTTTCTAAGTCTTCTATTAAAATAAATGTGGAATAGGGTTGTGATCATCAACGGAAGAGTTTGAACTGCGTGCTCCTAATTGGTTTTTATCATCAAAAAGCTTGTAGGTTAAAATTTATCTCATAATCTTCTTCAATAAATCTTTTGTTTGCACTATAAATACCATACTGCACTCAATTTAATATTTGTTTATAAATAAATAATTTTATTCATCAGCTCGAAGAATTCAGCTTTCTTCATATAAAGATATTATCTTTATCAAGCACCATTTCATCTGGAGCGTTCGTCGTAGCTCACCAAAAATCGATGCAAAAACGCTATAATCACGTCGTAACCTCAGCTCATGTCGCACTACCTTTCCTCGGTAGTAAGCTTTGCTCCAGAACTAAATAATGAAATATGGCATTGTCATTTATGAACCTGAGCACTGCGTAGAGTCCTCACAATACCCGTTGACACACAATCCCTGTGTTTTGGTTTCAGGTACTATTGCGCCGGCGCGTGAAATACCCAAAGAGGACACCATACAAATAATCCTTGCCAACCTTAACCTTGTAGTACCCGTAGTGGCTGCCGTACTGGTCATAATTGTTGCCATAATTGTGATCTGTGTCTTGCGCGGCAAAGGAAACTATAATAAAGGTACAGTCATATGTTTGTTATTCTAGGTACAATCGCCCCTGCGAGGGACATGCCCACTATGAAATTGCTATTTCCATGGATTCCGGACTGGGTGGACTGGAACATCGCGGTGCCAGTTGCTGCGACTGTTGTTGTTGTGGTTGTTGGTATTGTTGTCATTTGCGTTGCGCTTTCAAGAAAAGCTCACGGGCCTCTACAAACCAGACTGCGCAGCGATTGTATGTGTATGGCCCATTCTTTCATCTCATCGTCTTTTGCTTTTGTTTTATGCCTTTGCCTATAGAAAGTAGATCTCTAAGAAGTAGTCAATGTTTTTGGTCATTGCATAGGTAATTTATGATTTGATTTGATTATTTGTGATGTCCTACAAAAAAACTATTAAATAAACAAAAAATTAAAAGAATTAGATCAGAACATAAACCTACTGTAGCGTTTACGCTACTGACTAGTCCAATTTAAAACCCCTCAAGAAATTTTTATTACCCGCCTACGATCGATTTTGAATCGACATTTTCCCCCACACGCGCTGTTATCGCTTTGAAAGGAAGATCGATTTTGTGCGGAAGCGAAGCGGTTAGTTTTGGTCAGAACTGATTGCAGCCACGTCACACCGGTGAAATTTTTCACCTTCAACGTGACGGAATTGGAACAGAAAAATAATTTGGGGAAGAATATAATTCATTTATAATAATAGTAATAATTAATTTTAAAATCAATATTCATTTATGAGTTCCACATAAAAAGGAAGAGTTTTTTTTGGCGTGGTGCAGCTCCATATTCCGTCACGTGAAAATATTAATTTCACTTTACTTGAGGATATTCTCTTGAGAATATTCCCTCAAGGATACTAGTAACAGAATCCTTAGATACATAGTTAGCTAACCCGTGGATTTTGCTGTCACCCAGAGACCGGTGACTGGTTGTGGTTACAATTATATTAAATATATATATTACATCCAAAAAATGAGTTGTTCCATACTCATTATATAATATTTAAAACAAACCACATTAAATTTATGTCCCTCTTAATATCAAATTGTATTATATTAACAAAAATATTATATCCAAAAAAAAATGAGTTTGGTCAGACTCTCTAAATCCTAGTTAAAACCTAATAACACATGAAGTGTCCCTTTTTCCTCCCGAATATTTTATAATTAAATTATCAAAAAAAAATTATCATAAAGGTATTCACCTTATCATATGCATATGATCAGTTAACAGTAAATATAAAGTAATACGTAATACAAAAGGTCAAATAGTTAAACGACTTATCTTTACAGCACTATAAGTCCATAGGAAAAACTCCTCTTGGCCCGGCTACATCAGTTTGTGGCTGTAAAGACGAATCCTGGTCACAAAAGCCACAACCAGTCACCGGTCTCTGGGTGACAGCAAAATCCACGGGTTAGCTAACTATGTATCTAAGGATTCTGTTACTAGTATCCTTGAGGGAATATTCTCAAGAGAATATCCTCAAGTAAAGTGAAATTAATATTTTCACGTGACGGAATATGGAGCTGCACCACGCCAAAAAAAAACTCTTCCTTTTTATGTGGAACTCATAAATGAATATTGATTTTAAAATTAATTATTACTATTATTATTAAATGAATTATATTCTTCCCCAAATTATTTTTCTGTTCCAATTCCGTCACGTTTGAAGGTGAAAAATTTCACCGGTGTGACGTGGCTGCAATCAGTTCTGACCAAAACTAAACCGCTTCGCTTCCGCACAAAATCGATCTTCCTTTCAAAGCGATAACAGCGCGTGTGGGGGAAAATGTCGATTCAAAATCGATCGTAGGCGGGTAATAAAAATTTCTTGAGGGGTTTAAATTGGACTAGTCAGTAGCGTAAACGCTACACTACCTCAGAGATGTTGCTAATACGAAGAAATCTTATTGACTAGTCTGAAGAATCATATTTTTCTATGGTAAATATGATAGTACTTACCCTTTAATCCGGCCAATTATCAATATTTCACAGTACATCAAAGTGAACGTTTCTTGTGACGTCTAAAACTTGTAAGTCCGTAGCAATTTGGAACTGCAAATACCCCTCTAAGCAACTGCTAAAGCATAACAAAATAACTTTGTTATTGGTACCAGAGATCAAAGAAATTGCTGATAATGGGACTGCTAAAGAAGGTGGTCATCTTACAATCAACAGAGAGAAAACCCTTAAAATAGTTCAAGACTTCTACAAATCGCTGTACACAAACCAACACAAAGAAGATAGCAGAGAAGATCAAGTACCAGAAATATTAACAAGGAAAAAGGGCATTGTAAAGCAAGGATCAGAACTATCGGAAATCACAATAGACGAAATAAAACTAGCCCTAAGAAAAGCTAAGAATAACAAATCTCTAGGTGAAGATTGTGGACTTGCCTACTTAAGAAAATAAAAAACCTTTTTAACATGTGCCTTTTGGATAGTAATATACCCAACAAAACGGCACAATGCTGTGGAAATTCTATTGTAGAAAAAAGGAGATCCCCATGGATTAAAAAACTGCAGACCTATAAGTATTCTTAGTCACCTATACAAACTCCTTACAAGAATAGTAACGAATCGTCTATAGAAAAAACTTGATTTCTACCACACAAAGAGCAAGCGGGATTTCGTACCGGATTTGGAACAAGTGATCTCCTACAGAGCATTAAAACGGTAATAGAAAAAAACTATCGAATACAATCGACCACTCGTTCTGGCTTTTGTAGATTTTCATAAAGCCTTTGATACGGTAGAATTTGACAAAATCCTGGAAGCACTACAAGCATGCCGCAGTGACTACCGATATACAAGGTTAAGTTACAATACATACAAGAACGCAACTATGTCGGTGAAACTACATAAAAACACGGATCATATCCCAATCGGCAGAGGAGTCCGACAGGGTGATACCTTATCGCCCAAACTGTGTACCGCAGTACTATAGGAAGATCCCCTACTCGTTGGACTGACGATCTCAAGAAAATGCCAAGAAATTGGATGAAAAGTTATCAAGATAGAGCAAAATGGACAAAAATGAGGGAGGCCTATGTCCAACAGTGGACACAAAGGGCTGGTGGTGGTGGTGATGATGAAAGACTGTGCTACTCTTTTTATCGGAGAAGAACCATTGTGTAGTATCCAAAAAAACCAAAGCATTGTTCATTTTTTTGTAGTTGTATTTGTTAATTTCTATTATCTGGTACCTCACACGTCACAATTGGACCAATAACAACGGAGTCATGATATAAAGATAATGAGACTGCTAAAGAAGGTGCTACTCTTTTTATCGGACAAGAACCATTGTGCCAAAAAACCAAAGCAACATACAGCGCAGACGAAACGAACCGAACAAACTGTCTGTAACTGTATGACCTTTCGCCAACGCAATAAACACCTAAAACAGCTCTTTTTAGATCCTAATCAGATAAGAAACATGCCTGCTTAAAGCCTGGATTCAACGACGCGTGGAGGTTCAGTCCTAGCGCCAAATTTGCCATTTCACACGCCGTCGAGTAGGACATACTTGGCGATCTTCGGTCGGCGATGTGAGTCTTGTTATTTGTCGGTAAATCAACGTGGTTCAAAGGAGCTCGGGCGTTGGCACATAACCCACGCGCAATGCGAATGGTCCGACCATATTTCTACGCAAAAACCTTGAAACTCACTCGTATCTTTTAGATACTAGTGTAAAAAAGGTCTGCGACGCCAAAGACACTTGTTTGAAATCCCCAATCTACTGTGAAAACGAATTATGAACCTCGTAGTAACCGAAGAAAACTAGTCGTAAAAACGAGGCAGTTATTAACACAACAAAAGATGCAAATAATGATTTTCTTTAAGAAAACATGCAGGCAGCTGTGTTCTGGAATTCTCATTGCATTGTCTTGGTAGACTTGTTAGAAAAGAGAATAATAGTAAATGGCTAGTAATATGCTGATATGTTTTAACAACCTAGCAACAAATTAAAACAGAAATTGCCTCGTTTGGCGAAGAAGAAAGTGCTTTTCTATCAAGATCACGAACCTACCCTTAAATCTGCAGTTGTAATGGCTAAAATATAAAAATTGCTGTGTAGGCCTGCTACGAACAACAGAATAAATGTTCTGTAAAATAAACTTTAATAACATACTCCTTATCCATAACTCCAACCATTAGAAAGGTCAAAAGAGGCTGGAAAAAACCACGTCACGACAAGCCAGAGTATTATTTTTCCGTAAGTCCATATACGATTCTACAAAATATGTAAGAACGTTAGTTTTAAAATAACCAATATAAAAACCCACTTTTAGTATTTTTATTCTACAATTCATTCATTTTTATCAGCTATTATTTATGCAATGACTATAGATAGAATCTGTCAACTAAAAACGTTCTTAAATGAAACTTAATGGACCAAAATAAACTATTATTTGTTGTGATCATATTTATTTGTGTTTTAGTTGACTTATTAATAAATACAAATGGAGTAGAAAAGCATAACATGGAAGTCTATACAATAAAATATGATTCTAATATTGTTATAAAATGTATTCACTATTGGATTTTAAGTTTTTTACTCCACATTAATTGGAACACTGAATAAATTTTGTATTTTAAATAAAGTATAAATATCGTAACCTGCCCTGACGTCCTCCAGAATTTTTTAGACATCCCAAGCTTCCCAGATCTTTTAGAGTATTTTAGAGTAATCTTTCAAACCTGTAAAACACTAACGAATTTCAGAAGTCTTTCCAGAAGAAAACCTACCAGAAGAAGTTGTCTAATAGATTTTTTGATGTCATCCTGATGTCCGCCAGAGCTTCTTAAAACATATTACGTTAGTAAGGAAATAATCAAAGCCATCTGCGTTGTTCTAGGATAGTGAAAAAATATTCTGTAATGTCCTGAATTTCACCAGAATCTTGAAAAATATTTCATTATAGTCTCTACTTCTTCAGGTCTTCCCAAAACATTTATATATAATTATATAGCATTCTAAGCTACCTTGAGGTTCTTAATAGTCC